ACAAATTTTCACTTCGAAATGCTCTGAACGGGTATTATTTAATTTTAATATAGAAATGTATATACAAAGTTGTTTATTGATCACTAATGCTGCAATATAGATAAACTATTTGATTCCAAATATTTAAGTTTTTTGTAGATTTCATTAATTATACCTACGAAAAACAGGAATGTGCCTAAGTTTGACCAGTGCGCTAGAATTAATGACCACTATTGACGGCTCCGTGGCGCAGTGGCTTAGCAATGAGTTGCTGCGCTGGGGGCCGCGGGTTCCAATCCCGCACGGAACAAGTATTTGTATGGCCTCCAAATAATTGTACCGGGTCTGGATGTTTGTCCTTGTGCAATTTGTGTTTGTAAACTGTCTCCACGATACAGGAGAAAATCCTAGTGTGGGGGTAACGTTTTTTAAAAAAGATAAAAATAAACAAAAAAAACTAAGCTTTTGCGCCAATAGTTGACCACAGAAAAACTTATCAAGAAAAAGGGGCTAATTAAAAATAAACACTATTTTGTTAAACAAATTGACTTTCATATGATGACTGAAACTTTATCTAGACTTACAACCAATTTTAATGGCACAGTCGAAGGTAAATAACTAGAAGACAAACATGAAAAATAGAACATTAACGCTAACAACGCTTATTAGCAAACTACAATAGAAAAATAGCACATAAATTGTCAGTATCACCTATCACAGACTTTGAATTAAATAAACCAATCTCATCATATTGAGGTAGGCGATTTTGACAAAATCTTATCTAGAAACCGTAAAATTACCAAAAGAACTAGAAAGCTTTATCTTATACTAGCTGTTCCCCACGAATTCGCCGCGTGGAATTTTTTGCGTGGAACCCTAAAATAAAAGTAGCCTAAGTTACTCCTAATAACATCAGCTATCTGCCAGTGAAAGTCCCATCCAACTCGATTCACAGGCTTTTGCGTGATGCGTGTTCATACCAAAATAGCTCGCAGACGACAGATTTTCTTCAGACTTACACATTTATATTTAATATGTTATATTTTGGTCAATTTGCATAATATTTTTATGAATTATAGCTTATGTGTTATTCTAATGTATGAGATATATTATTGTAATGTTTCATTAAAATGCATTCAGTAGTTTTTGCGTGCAAGAGTAACAAACATTCATACATCCACAGAAACTTTCACATTTATAATATTAGTAAGATTCATTGCAAAACTTTGGCCATGTCTTCAACCTTGTAGGAACCTCTGGTATTTATAGAAACAGGTGCTTTTATAACTCCAATGATGCTGTCACGGTCATACAATATAATCTTCTTTTTCAAGCCATTTGAAAATGGTCGCAGATGATAACATCATAGTACCGACTTCAGCGTTACATTCATCAATGTTTTTGATTTTCCCAGGGAAATAGTTGTTTAGGTGCTTGACTATCTTTGGCTTTTGGTGGTGTCGCTTCAAGATTTTTTACGTGGAGGCATGTTACAGCTGTATTAGTAGTATACTTGTAGCACGAGTGGGTCAGTTGGAACGAGGCACGACCACGCTCTCACAGAATACCAGCGTAAAATATCAGCATAACGCTTCTGTTTCGTCAGGTGAGAGTAGAGAACCAGATACCCTTTTTACTGGAAACGAGACATTCCACCTTAGTCCTCACGGTTGACAACGCATCTGCATTTTGATTCGTAATCGAGGATATATGTAGATGTCTATGGGCCGCAGCATCCACATACCATCAGTTGGACTCTGTGCTCGTTTGTCACCCTTATCCTATAAAAAATCCTGTGGGAGTAGGGTAACTTCCTTTTCTTCTGGCTGTTGGATTGATAGTCGAGGTCAAAAATCACTTAAAGATGTGCTCTCTTGTTATTTGGCTAACGGTTTCCAATAAACATTCATTTTTAGCGATAGCATTAATCCACCTAGATAATACAAACTCTTCTTGTAGGGTTAAGATAGTTGGTGGTCCCATTTTCCGTTGAGAATGTCTCATTTTCAGTTTGTTTATAACAGTCGGGTGAGGGATATGCTATTTTCGACATATTCGCCTTATTTTAGCGCTTATATATTTATGAATTTCATCAAGATAATTAAGCAAGTTTAGCTCTGTATATTTAATAAATGTCTTTTTGGGTCTATCTTCAATCTAAAACAACGAAAAAAGTTGAAACTTTAATCTGGTGGCCATCCATAGGAACAATTTTTTACTACTGTGTACCAATAGCAAACCAGTGGTCAACAACTGGGACACATCGCATAAAACGATTGTAATAATTGGCTTTAAGCTCTAAATTGTGAAACAAAAGCATAGCTATGAAAAAAATAACAAAAAAAGAAACACCATAAGCAACCAGTTGGTCAACAATAGGAACTCAGTACAAGGTGTGTTCCAGTAGTTAACCACCTTTAAAAATACTTGATAATGTCATTATTTAATAAAAATAACACCGCATAGTACTTAAATAAACACAAAACTTTTAAAATAATACATTTTAATGACAGTAATTAGGAAATAATAGGTAATATTAAAATATTGAACTTATCATGTCGACGTGCAAGTCTAACTATAATGGTGGCCGAAAGGCAGTAAACGAGACACTGGACTGAGAAAAAGAGCTAGATATCTTTATTTTCGTTTACTCTGGCAAAAAATGATGTTCGGAAGATTGGTTATAGTCTAGGCTACATAACAAAACTATTGAATTCCAAAAAATGCCCGCAATTTCTTAATTTATTCAATCGAACATAAGTGGTCAGCCACTGGTACCTGGTTTGGGACTGGTACACCCACTCTACCTATTTTACAATATGAATTTGGTTAAAAATTTGTAGTACTTAGTCCATACCTGACAACAATTTTCTTACTCCTGACGTAAACATTCTACAGTTGTATTGCAACAAAAACATTTCTGAAATCCTTTCCTTGGCTATAAGAACAAATCTAAGGACTTATTAGCTGCATTTACAATGATATCAATGTACGTGTTCCTATCAAGAATTACACCTAAGTTTCGAATTAAAAATAAGATAAGGTAAGAACTACTGCTAAAGCAAATTATACTATGTGGTTGGACCTTCTTACTTTTTTATGTTGCTGAATAGCAGTGCCTGCACTCAAAGAGTAGGTATATAATCACACGTTTTACCTGCACTATTGTGTTCCGGTCTAAAAGTCATACATAACAGCTGAATAAAAATAAAAACTATGGTTGCCAACCCGCTTGCCAAGCGTAGCAACTCTAGCAAATATCCCCTCTGTGAGTATTCAATAGTAAATTATACGCGCACCAATACTCACATTCTAGACCACCAAAACCAAAAACTGGCCGCACGAAACCGATCCAGCGGTCACAAAAAAAATACGCTAGACGACAGAGCCGCTGCTGTCAAGCTACTGTTGCTAGCCCACGGCCAGAATCACGGGAAGCCGGCACACTGCCCCTCCCCCCCGGCGGCGCCTACCTTACCTCACACCATCGGGCGATGCGCTTAGTCAAACGCGATTGGATGCCGTTTCAAATGCCCATGTTTGGGCCTAAACAGATACTGATACATACGTAGATGAAGCGGTTGAATAGTGATACGTCAAGATTGATGCCTATAAGTCATTGTAGGTAAGTTATTAGTTTAAGTTTGCTAAGATTTTAGTAAATAATAAGGTAAGATGTGGCAGATCAATAAATACAGGTACGAATTTATAAAACGATATTTATTAATGAAACACAAAAATCGAATTAATTTCGATTTTTGTATTTGATTTCGTTTTCGAGCTCCCCGGCCGCGTGCTTCCCGCTTACATCCTTTGACACCCTAAGTAATGTTGTTAAAATCAATGTTTTCTCATCAAAATATTACATACTGATGAAAAGAAGTATTATTGTTCTTCTTAGTTTGCTTCCGTGAATCGTTTATGCAGCTTGGCACTGCATATTTCCGCATGGTAATTTAAAATTCAAATTAATACCGTCGAGAGAAATAATTAACGCGCGTGAATAATAAAGTCCCCCTTTCCATTTCGAGAGTTTGAGACTGTTTACACCCGAGCTTACTGTTTACATTTGCTAACTCATGGTCTATAACTTTTTTTATAGAATAAGGGTGACAAACGAGCACGCAGTCCACCTGATGGTAAGTGGTTACTGCTTACTGCAGCCTATAGACTTCTACATCTATCATCATCCGAATCAAAATGCAGATGCGTTGTCACCCGTAAGGACTAAGATGGAATGCCTCATTTCCAGTACAAAGGGTCTCTGGTTCTCTACACTCACCATACGAAACACAGCAGCGTTAAGCTGCTATTTTACGATGGTATACTGTGAGAGCGTGATCCTTTCCCGGTCGATCCGACCCATTCGTGCTACAATTATACTACTAAGCTGCAGCATGGCTCTACCACGTAAAAAAGCTTTCTTATAGAAATACTCTAAGTGTATAATGATATGTAATGAAAACGTTTAATGTTTTATTATGCGCACATTTTTTAAAGATTTTTGGCTACGATGCTTGTCTTTTACGCCATGACTTCATTTATCTTAGTATCAAATGATAATAATCATTTATAGTACACTGCTTCACAATATGTTATAGAATTCACAAAATGGTTTACAAAATTGAGCCAACAGCCGTTGGCAATAGTATTTCAAGGCGTCTAAGCAGACAGATACCTTATCTTGATATTCACATTACCATCGGAGCACTTGTTTCACCGTTTTCATTTTAATTATTCACATGCGCAGACATTTAATAAACAAAATCGCACCACTTTCACATATCAAAATCCACTTCCAACCATTATTTAAACAATAATATAGGAGCAGCAGTCCACCAACGCTCAAGTTCAGCCACTAAAACTCTCTGTGCACTAAAGTTAATTAAATCCATAGATCATAAATAAAATCTTTAATTTTATGATCTGCAAAAATAATACCATCTATTCTTTGACAATGGCTTAAAAGACGAGCATCCAAGCCAAAATCTTAATAAAACTATTCATTGACGTTTCAGTTTGACAAAATAACAAAATATTATCATTTTCGTTTTTCACAATTTCACATTGCCCCATGCTCTAAAACATAAAACCCTAAAGACCAAAAGAGTACTAATATTTTGCCTTTGCCGTTTACGTTTACCTCGTTTACCATGCAAAATGCAAATTGTATTTTGCTTGGTTAGCTCACTGAAACAAATAATTAGCTTTCCGATTTTGATCGTCAAAATTGGCGAATGTTTCTGAAAACTGAATTTTTGGAGATATTTCCAATAAAAGCCAACAAACAGTTTATTTGAAATGTTAATAAACTAAAAAGTACTTTTATATGTCGAAGGGCAAGGTACATTATGATTTCAAGAGAAGACTACATTTTTGAACCTTTTAAGGTTACCGAGGTTAGATTTCAGGGCTTAGAATGTCCTAGACCTCGCAGTGGTCATAGAATAGTCTGTGATGATGCAAATATTTATTGTTTCGGTGGTTATAATCCCGTTTTACCACTTAATAGTATCCAAAGAGTTAATCCGACGTGGAGTCCACAGCGACCTTTATTTAAAGAATTATGGAGTTTTTGCATTGCAACACGAAAATGGAAACAACACACAGTTGTCGAGAATATGCCTGAAGAGCTTGCATCCAATGCTATGTGTATGAATGGAAGATTTCTTATGGTTTGTATTTCTGCTTATAGGTACTTAAAAACTTAACTGTTCAAAACCTGCTTATTTGTAAGCATTGAGTGGAAAAATATACTTTGTACTTAGTAAGTCGTGTCTTTTATGCTGGATAAATCTTTTTATCAGTTAAATTATAAATTGTAGAAGTTTATCTAGGCCATGTAGATTAAGATTAATTACTACTCCATATTGTCCCGAGGGTTGTAAGAGGTGATAGAGGGAAACAAACTAGGAGATTGATTTCTAATAAGAACTAAAAATTAAAAAAAAGTTGATGCAAACACACCTATCAAATTTAGCAACTATGCCAATATTCCTCCTATAGGGCACTCTTTGGGGGAGGCCTATTTTTAACAGTTTGAAATTATATATTTTTTTAGAAAAATAGAAATATCAAGAAATTTATGAAATTAAATAAAATGAATTTTTAAAAAGAACTAAATTTCATACCTTTTTTAGATCTAGTTTCTGCATTTATGTGGCATATTAACAATGATATGATATTTCATGTGTACATAAGTCGGTGTACATTTTGTGAGTAACCATTAATAAAAATATAGTAATATTTTTATGCCTTTTGGATGTCATATTTATTTCATTTTATATAATTGACATATTAATCCAAAGTACTATTTTATTTACCTACTTCTTTTGTCAACAAAATAGCTTTTATTGCGTAGTATAGGTAACAAGTGATAGCGACAGATGGCAAATTTATTGAATATTAATTGACCTAGTTTATTCTTAAAAACTTTAGGTTGCAATTGAAATGAAGAAGCTACAAGCTGAGTAGTATGACCTCTACTGGCTGTCGATGTACCAAAAATTTATTGTAAAACTAGCTGTTCCCCGTGACTTCATCCGTGTGGAATTTTTTCGCACCGTAACCCTACATTAAAAGTGCCCAAGTTGTTCCTTATAACATCAGCTATCTGCCAGTGAAAGTCCAAAGACAAAACGGTTCACAGGTTTTTGCATGATGCGTGTTCAGATAGATGTCCTGTTAGAGTTTTATTATAATATGGTGTTTTTTTTGTTTTTTTTTTTACCACTAAACTTAAATGTTACATAATGAATTACAATTTTGTTTGGCCTATTATTTTGGCCAATGTCCATAACAAACTTTTTACATTCCTATTTTGTAGCTTGCTATCTATTACTTAGGAGGAGATGGTACTTAATTCGACTGTATGTTTTTTTTAATGTGTGTTACCTCATAACTTTTTACTGGGTGAACCGATTTCGATGATTCTTTTTTTACTTGAAAGCTGGTCGTTCACATGTGGTCCCATATGAATTTGATCAAGGTGTGACCAATAATTTTTATGTTATTCTTAATAATTTATATTGAAGTCGGTAGTACAAAATTTTAAATTATAAGTTGTACATTATATACAAATAATAATATTAAACTTAAACATATCGATTGCTTTTTAAGATCGCATTTTAATTGTTTTTTTTAGATATTTGGTGGAACAGGGGCTCCATTTGGTAATAAATGTAGCAATGATGTTTTAACATGGCGTACATGCCCCGGTGACGCAAAGTTACAAGTATTGGAAGCGACAGGAACTAGACCGCCTGGGCAATATGGGCAATCAATTTTGTGTCATGATGGCTATTTCTATACAATTGGTGGTACAAATGGATTTGCATACAATTGTGATATATATAGGTTTGTATTTTGTCAAATTATATTTAACGAAAAAAAATAACTTTGCCTCCTTGACATTCTGAATCTATTGATATATGTAAAATATTTTTATGGAACAGTGTGACAAATGAGCACACAGTCCACCTGATGGTAAGTGGATGTTGTGGGCCATAGACATCTACATTTATCCTCAATTAAGATTCAAAATGCAGATGAGTTGTCACCTCTGAGGACTAAGATGGAATGCCTTGTTTCCAGTTAAAAGGGTAACTCACCATACAAAACACAGCGGCATTTAGCTGCAATTTTACGCTGGTATTCTGTGAGGGCATGGTCCTAACCTGGTCGAGCCGACACATTTGTGCTACAATCATACTATGGCTGCAGCGTGGCTCTACTACAAATAAATATCTCTTAAATAATGCACCATATATAATATATTACATGAGAAAATTAAATATTCTATACTATGCTGTTTTGTTTTTATACATTTATCCTCAATTAAGATTCAAAATGCAGATGAGTTGTCACCTCTGAGGACTAAGATGGAATGCCTTGTTTCCAGTTAAAAGGGTAACTCACCATACAAAACACAGCGGCATTTAGCTGCAATTTTACGCTGGTATTCTGTGAGGGCATGGTCCTAACCTGGTCGAGCCGACACATTTGTGCTACAATCATACTATGGCTGCAGCGTGGCTCTACTACAAATAAATATCTCTTAAATAATGCACCATATATAATATATTACATGAGAAAATTAAATATTCTATACTATGCTGTTTTGTTTTTATTTTATTGCTTCACCATAATTTTAGTGGCGCCAGCATGGCTCTAACCAAAATTGCTCACATATTATGCATATGAAATGAACAGTCAGCATTCATTTATCCTTTGAGTTGCCGCAGTGCAAAGTTATTGCAAATTTTATCAACTTAAATGATTAAAATGGCCGCTTGGTAGCAGTGTAAGAATATCCACTATCCCCTATCGTCCCATGGGTGTTTAAGAGGCAACAGAGGGATTTATTATATATTTTCAATTAAATTATTAAGGATAACTCAAAATCTATTTGTCAGACCTTGATCAAATTAATATGGGACCACATGGAAAGCACCAGCTTGAAATAAAAAAGAGTCATCAAAATCTGTTCACCTAGAAAAAAGTTATGAGGTAATACACATAAAAAAAGAAAAAAGAAAGAACACAGTCGAATTGAGTATATCCTCCTTTTTGAAGTCGATAGAAAATAAGAATATGTGGTTGCCTACTCACTTGTCATAGAAACTATGGCTAATATCCCCCCTAAGAGGCAATATATGGGGGAGACCTATGTACAGCATTTGATTTTTGATAGGATTTAACAGTAAATGATATAGACGCGAAAGTAGATTGATCAAACTTTCATACACTGTCACTACAGCATCTTCCGACCCAGCACTGCTGAACACAAGCCTTCCCATAAATTACCACAGAGTATGGTACTGAGCCACCTGCATCCTTACCGTTGCCTGCCACACATTGCCACTCGAGAACTTTTCTTCCCAGGGCAGAACCGACAGCCTATGGCTGTCATTTCTGCCTATTGCCACTATATCTTACTAATCCGTTGGGCTACGTCGGTTACTCTGGTTCTACTGCACTATATATCCTCAATTCTAAGTTTCGCACAGAGAAACCCCGTGTATAAGCCTCTCCATAGTTCGCTGAGCAACCTTGTGCTACCTCATATGGTTAGCAGTGAAGGACCACGTTTCAGATCCATAAGTCATCACTCATTGTACATATCACACTGGTTGTATACTTTTGTCTTAATATTCTGAGAAATGTCACGTAGAAAGATTGGTCTCAGTTTTAGAGTCAGAGTTGGATTTGTCTGTTGACCTCTTGCTCGAAGTTCGACTTACCTAGTCAAATAGTCCTACGTAAATATACTCATCAACTACTTCGAGCATAGTTACCTATAACTACTGATATTGGTGTAACATGGACAATAGACCTGATTTTTGTCTTGTCTATGTTCATCTTTCGACCTACCCATTGACAAAGACTATGTCATTGAGCATAGATAGTATAATACACCATTCTAAATAACAATTACATGGGTGCCAGACGAGACCAAACACTCTTTAGTTTAGTACACTTATCCTATAAGCTATACCATTGCTTGTACTACATGTAATAAACAAATGAAGTAATGCTTTTTGTTTTTAACTATAATCATGTGCTATGTCTTTACTTTGATTGATTATTGATTTTTATGCAGGTTAAATCTACGAACTATGATTTGGGAACCAGTATTTGTAGGAACTGGCCAGGAAGGTGAACCATTTGGCAGATATCGGCATGAAATAGCTCGCGTTGGGAATAAGCTATATATTATTGGTGGTGGCACTGGAGAGTGGGCATTTGAACTTATGGAAATACCAATGTATGACCTTGAAACCAATACATGGACATTTTTAACTCCAAAAGCTGATGATACAATAAAGAATACATTAGCTCCGTTACCTAGAAAGTGTCATAGTGCTGTGCAAATTGACACACCAAAGGGTGCACAAGTGTTTGTTGTGGGTGGTTCAGATGGACAGTCAATGTTTGAAGATGTGTGGAGGTTGAATATTTCTGATCTTCAATGGAATTTAATGCAAAAGACTGTATTACCTCATCCACTTTCCTTTCACTCTTCTACAGTCACTTCATATGGCTGCATGTATACTTTTGGTGGCATTGAACCAAAAGAAGAAGCAACCTGTAGAAATAATACAATGTATAAAGTTTGGATTTGTATACCGAAATTAAGTGAGATTTGCTGGGAGGCTTTGATGACTTTTCATCCTAATTTAGACCAAGTTAAAAGAAAAACTCTTTTAAATATTGGAATTCCTATTCACCTTGTTGATAGATTACATCCACAGTGAAACTTGGTTACATAATTGCCTTTTGTGTGTGTATTATATATTCCATAAATAATCTGCTGGTACATATATTTGTATTTATATAGCGCAATAAAGGTATTATCTACCTTATTATGTCAATAAATGTATATAACTTGTCTCGAAATTAACTAATGTGCATTTAACATGTTTTGATCGTGAAGTGTTCATTTTATTTAGTAAAAGTTGCATAATATTCTGAAAGCTTTAGTTTATAATTTTTTTAGGGACATTTTCAAAATATGATTTTATTTTCTTTTACACTACAAGTGTACGAAACTACGATATTCTCTTTATGTATGACATATTGAAAAGTACAATTTTAAATGTTATCGTTAACAACCAACCTATTAAAATAAAACTCTTATATTGAAATGTCGACTTTCTTTTAAAAAAATATAAATGTCCTAAAATATTGTAAGTCAGTGCTTGACTACTAACCTGATGGCAAATGGTGATGTTTTTTTTTACATCTATACAAATAAATAAAAATGAAGTGCCTGTTTGTAATGTCTAAATAACTGCTTTTTACTATATGTACATGAAAGTATATACGGTACTTATAACAAAAACATGATTTTTAAAATTTTTGTCTGTCTGTTTGTTCCGGCTAATCTCCGAAACGGCTGGACCGATTTTGACCGGACTTTCACTGGCAGATAGCTGATGTTATAAGAAGTAACTTAGGCTACTTTTATTTTAGAAAAAGAATTAGGGTTCCGCGCAAAAAATTAAAATCCATGAAATCCAATCGTAATAAATTACGCGCGGGCGAAGTCGCGGGGAACAGCTACTTTTTAATATTTTCGTCTGTTTGTTCCGGTTAATCTCCAAAACGGCTGGACCGATTTTAATGGAACTTTCATTGGCAAATAGCTGATATTATAAAGAGTGCCTAAGTTACATATACTTTTATTTTAGAAAAAGAATGCGGGATCCGCGAAAAAAATTAAAATCTTAAATTACACGCGGACGAAGTCGCGGAGAACAGCTAGTTTGTCATAATATTAATAAACTAAAAAAAACAACATGTAGGCAGTTCACACGCGGTTGAAAAGTGAAATATCTCATTGTTTCTTTTTTACTCACTATGTGTTTATGTGTGGTAGGTGCAACAAGTGTAGCGTCGTAATAGTTGTACTGGTTGTTGCATATTCGTCCATACATTACTCATTAGAGGGCGCACTGAAAACTAGCTTCGTGGATAATATCACGAAATAATGCTGAGTGTAGCCCTTTTATACCAAACACGCACACAATAAAGCTTTGATTGTATTGATTCCATTTTATTTAGGTTTTAGTTTTCTTTTGGTCTGTAGTTTTAAGTTTTTTAGTGTATATGTTGTAACATGTGTTGGTGTTTGATATAATGAATATTATTCCTTCTTTCTTTAAAATAAAAGATTATTTTCTTTCGAGTATTTTTTATAATATTTTTTTTTGTGATTGGCTTCTAATCTACAACAAAAGACAACACAAACATTTATAATACTACCACCAACAATGATTAGTATTATGTTACAACTTAATAATATTAGTGTAAATAAAATCACATAAAATATGAACAAATGAGGAGAACACAAGAGACAGCAGGCAGGTAGAAAGAATTAGTATGTCGAGGAATGTTTTGGGAAAGGATATCATACAAGGAGAACTTGAGTCGTGGACATTCGAAAAATATGTGTTCGGTGGAACCTTCATCAAGACCACATTCACGTAAAGAGTTATCCCTTATCCTTAATTTGGCTAGGTGTACCGGAGTGCAAGAGTGACCGAAGCGAAGACGGCAAACGGTTGATGTAGTAAATTTGTTGACTTCACAATAATGGAAAAACCAAGGTTTGTGGTAGAGCCATGCTGCAGCTTATTAATAATATAGTTGTAGCACGAATGGGTCGGCTCGACCGGGGAAGGGCCACGCTCTCACAGAATACCAGCGTAAAATAGCATCTCAATGCTGCTGTGTTTCGTATGGTGAGTGTAGAGAACCGGATACCCTTTTTATTGGAAAAGAAACATTCCATTATAGTCCTCACGGCTGACAACGCATCTGTATTTTAATTCGCAAGCGAAGATAGATGTAGATGTCTATTGGCCACAGCAACCACTTACCATCAGATGGACTGAGTGCCCGTTTGTCTCCCTTATTCTATAAAAAAAATATGTGATTACGTCTTGAACACGAGCGTAATATTTACATTTTATGTTTTTAGTTTGGTCCCAGAGACTGCCAAGATGCCATAAAGTGAGATCCTGTTAGTGGAAGCAAGTTATGGGGGACAATTTGGTACCCAGAGAGGGTACCTGTTCGTGTCGCTTTCTTAGCCAAGAAATCAGCACACTCATTACCATGTATCCCGGACTGGCCTGGAATCCAAGCCAAAATAAATTTTAGACCTTTATGTGACAATTGTATAGTGTTTTTTAAATAAAGAGGATTGGGAAGGGATTTGATTTAGAGTGGAAATAGCTGGAGATAATAGTTTGGAGACAGCTAAGAGAGTCAGAGAGAATTAAGGTATTTTCCAGGTTATGAGATTCGGCATGTAGGATTGCTTCTAAAATGGCAATAGATTTACCTGTGAAAACTGATGACAGTCTTGTCATACCTCTGAGATTATTTTCTGTTAGATTCAATAGAATAAATAAAAAAAAAATAGAATAGAATAATTTAATTCAATATTGATTATTACATAATTCTTATTGAAAGTCATTTTTTATTTACCACTGGTTCGGAAAATACCTCTGTCCTGGGAATTCCAGCAAGAAACCCAGCGGGACTTTTTTTCCAAATATATTTCACTTAACAATAATTTCGTTTATACTATTTTAAATGATTTATCATAGAAACAGTATGGTGGCGATCACCTTTTTCCCAGGGGTTATTTTCATTCATGTATTCCTTGATATTATAATAACCCTTTTTGTACAGTCTTTCTTTAATAAAACTTTTAAACTTGTTTATTGACAAACTTTGAATATGTTCTGGGATTTTGTTGTAAAAGCGTATACATTGCCCCATAAATGAATTACTGATTCTGTGGAGTCTAGTAACTGGTATTACAAGCTTATGTTTGTTCCTAGTGTTTAAAGTATGCACATCCTTATTCTTATTAAAGCTATTTATGTTTTTATGTACATACATTACATTTTCATAAATATATTGCGATGCCAAAGTTAATATGTTTATTTCTTTAAATTTTTGTCTGTGGGACTCTTTACAATTTAGGTTATAATTCGCCCGAACGGCTCTCATTTGCAAAACAAATATAGCTTCAATATCAGTCGCATTACCCCATAGCAAAATTCCATAAATGTCTCATACGCTATGAAAGTAACTAAAATACACTAATCTAGTTGTCTCAACATCTGTGAGACTTCTAATCTTTCTTACAGCATATGCTGCAGAACTAAGTCTGTTTGCTAATTTAGATATATGGGGGCCCCATTGAAGTTTCGCGTCAATAGTAATACCGAGAAAAACAGTGGTATCCACAAGACTCAACTCCTCCCCATTTAACAGCACATTGGTATTCGAATGTTTTACATTAGGTATTGTAAATTTAATACACTTTGTCTTATTGCCGTTCAAGAGCATATTGTTAGTGTTAAACCAATGTACTAATTTCGATAGATCATTATTTACATCGTCATAATAAATTAACTGCCGTTGGAGTTTGAAAATTAAAGAGGTATCGTCAGCAAATAATACTATATCGTGATTGTCCCCTACAAGATAGGGTAAGTCATTAATATAGACTAAAAACAGGAATGGGCTAAGAATCGAGCCCTGAGGAACGCCCATTGATACTACCGATCCGGAGGAACCTTTACCATTGATCACGACTTTTTGAGTTCTGTTACTTAAATATGAAGTAATAAGTCTAAGCGCCAAATTTTTTACACCGTAATGTTGTAGTTTCCTGATTAATGTCTCATGATGAACACAATCGAAAGCCTTGGAAAGATCACAGAAAATACCTAAGGCATCTTGTGAATTCTCCCAGGCATCAAAAATATATTTCATAAGCTCAACACCAGCATCAGACGTCGAGCGACCCCTTGTAAAACCAAATTGGTTTTCAGGAAGTAATTTATTAGTATTAAAAAAAATTAACAATTGATCCAAAATTATTTTTTCAAAAATTTTACTGAGAGTTGGTAGTACAGAAATAGGTCTAAAATTAGCGGGGTCCAATGTACTACCAGATTTAAATATAGGTATTACTTTACTACACTTCATTAAATCAGGAAATACACCAGAATCGATACAAGTATTAAAAATAATAGCAAGATGAATTGTGCTATTAAATCTATTATGGAAGCAATAACTGTAACAGAAATCCCCCACAAATCTGCGGTTATCTTTACATCAATGGTTTTGAAGTATTTTACAATATCTTGCGGTAATACTTTTTCAAATCTAAATTCTTTTAAACAGGTATTAACATTCTGTTTGAATAATGACTCGGCGACAGTTGGAGAAGTAACTCTCTGTTGTCAAGATAGGAATATCAGTGAAATATTTCTCAAACACCGCTGCGACTTCTTGATTTGATTTAGTCAATTCATTGTTAATTTTTAATTGATAGTTTAAGTTACGAGGTTTTTCTTTACCGGTTTCGCTGTTAATCCACGTCATTTTAACTTTATTCGTAGCCGTCTTAATTTTGTTGCTAATATGTAACGATTTGGCTGTGGAGCAAACTCTTAAACATTTTAGAATAATTTTTGACATATTCTTTAAAAGCATCAGAAGGATTATATGATCTTTCATGGTAAATGTCATATAACCTTCGTCTGCTTTTATGAATTCCTAATGTCGCCCACTCATTTAATGCCTTGCGACGTTTTTTTTTTAAATTCATTGCTTATAAGGGTAAATAATTCTCCATATACATAGTCTGCATTGTTGTTATAATAAAGCGATGGAAGGTTTTTTTACCATATTACTTCTAAATCTCTCCTGGCGTTTTGCATTAATAGGAACAAACACAATTTTCTCAATTTCCTGTTTTTTGTGCATATAAGGAATGAAACCAGTTGTCCACAGTGATCTGAACTAAGTTTTTGAATTATTGATTTGTTGATTGGTACAACACCTGTAAAAATATTATCAATACAATTGCACTACACCTTGCAATACGTGTAGCTTCAAAGAATAAATTATCAAGATTATAGGATTTGAACAAAGAGCAAAATTTAATATTGATGGAAGAAGTTTCCAGGAGATTGATATTAAAGTCTCCACACACTACAAGAGATTTATTCTGTTTATTAAGCTTAACTAAAACTTCTTCCATAAAATTTTCAAAGGTATCATAACTTGAACATTGGGGTCTGTAAACAACAATAATGTGCTCAAGCTCAA